CATTTTTTAAAGGCTGAATAATATTTTGTGATGTATATGTTCCCTTCATTGAGTTAGTCATTTTTTTGTTGCTGGACTTAAAGCTTTCAATTATTAAATAAATAAACAAACAAAAGGTTGCAATGAACATCTTTATGCACAAAACTTGGGGTGTTTTTCTTTGGTATTTTGGATCATTTTCTTACAGCAGATCTCCAGGAATGAGATTATTAGTGCAAAAAACATGAACATCCTTAACAGCTTTTGATACATTGCTAATTCTTGTGGCTAACACTGCATTCATATCCTTTAGAAGTGCTCTGCTCTGGTATGTGGTGGTGAGGGACAATATTTCTCACTCATGAAACAGAACAAAGTTTACAACTCAGAGGACAGACTTGGACCTTCATAACACCCATCTAATTTAGCAAAATAAGTAAATAAAGCATTATACAAAGGGTATATGGGTTTGCTCAAAGTCTCTTTCTAGAGTGGAGAAGCAGCTGTTAAGTCCGTAGAAGTGGAGTTTTGCTGTTTCACATCAAGTGAATCCTGTGAGAGAGAGCTAAACCAAAGCCAGAAGGCAAGGCTCCCAGGCCTGTCTGTGTGACTTTAGACATATCGCTTCACAAATTCTGCCTCAGTACCCTATCTTGTACTTGTATAGGAGTCCCTGGATGGCATAAATGGTTAAGCACTTGGCTATCAGCTGAAAGACTGGCAGTTCTAATCCACTGAAGGGTACCTTGGAAGAAAGGCCTGGAGACCTATTTCCAAAAAGTGAGCCATTGAAAACTGTGGAGCAGAGTTCTACTCTGACACACATGGAGTCCATGAGTTAGAATCGACTTGATGGCTACTGATTTGTTTGTTTATTTGTACTTGTGTTGTCTTTGTACTTTATGAGAAGCTTCACAACATTTGTCCTCATGGCACTGTTCCCTTGAGCAGGTAGAGCGAAAGGACACATCTTCTGCTGTGTCTTCAGGAGAGACTCATAGATCTCCTGACTTGGTCCCTTTCCTCTCTCACTGGGTTTCACTCAGACAAAGGTCTTTTTTCCACTTCTTTTCTGGCTTTTGATGTCTCTAGATTTTCCTCTACCACTGGAATTTGAGAATCTATTTTGCCCTCATCTTGAGTTTTCTACTCTGTGCCATAGTTCATCTTTGAAACTCACCTTCCATACATGTAGAAACGTTATAGTAATAGCCTTCCGAACACAGGCAAAAATAGCTATTACGCAGAACAATACAAGAAGAATCACTTTCACAAGACGTGTTTTGGCAAAGACTGGTGGGACCTTAAATAGAGTAGAAAGAGATTAAAAGTTCACAGAAGCAACAACAAAAAACACCAAGAAACATATTTTTAAATCTTCATGCCTCCCTCTGGGTACTTTTTACTCCTTGGCCATGTTACTGCATGGCACACTCTTGAAAAACCTAGAAACAAAGAAATGTGGGTTGTTGTTTTTATTTGTTTTGTTTTTATGTCACTGGGGAGTATGTTGCTGAAATTCTAGAGCCAAGTGGTTGGTGCCAGTAAAGGCCAGAGATAAGTGAACAAAGGTATTCTTAGAGAAAGAGAAAGCAGGGTTTCTAATTCGAGGCTGTCTGGAATCTATGAAACTTAAGAACCTTCCAGAACCTTGATGCTTGGCTTCTACCACTAGTTAAACCAAGACCAAAGCCACTGCCACTGAGTCAATTCCAACTCATTGGGTTTCCAAGGCAACAAATCCTTGCTGAAGTAGATTGCTTCATCTTCCTTCCATGAAGCAGCTGGTGGGTTTGAACCATCAACCTTCTGGTTAGTAATCAAATGCCTTCAGCACTGTGCCACCAGAGCCCCTTCTGCCACTAGGTTAAAAACAAAAACAAAAACAAAAAAAACTCACTGACATCAAGTTGATTCTGGTTCATAGCGACCCTCATTGGGTTTCCAAGGTAACAAATCCTTATGGAACTGGACTGCCCAATCTTCCTTTCACGGAGTGGCTGGTGGATTTGAACTGCCAACCTTCTGGTTAGCAGTCAAATGCCCTAGGCACAAGATAGGGCTCTCTAAAACCGTTTTACATAAAGCATCATAGTTTTTAGTAAGGTATAGTAACTGTCTTTTAGAGAGGAGCAGGCAAGGATCTCCAAAAGAAACCCCACATATCACATTCTGGTTTGCACACAGGGTATACAGATGCACCAAGAAAGGAAAGGGATGGCGAAGGAGAAGATGTGAACTAACCCTCCCCATTCCCCTCAGGCTTTCTGTGTGGATGACTTGAATAAATGGTGAGAATAATATTGCAATGATATTCTTGCCACTGGCAGGATACAATGTCTCTGGAGAACAGATCAGATCTGAAGAAGGAAACTAGGTCAGTGGCCGAATGGTGATCTTGGCTTGCCATTTTATTTCTGTCAAATGAAATGATTCTGAGCTTTGATTCCAGAGTAGCTCAAGTGTCTGACAACTTTCAGAGCTGTATTGAGATTCAAATCTCTAAGTAAAATTTTTTAATTTTTTAAAGATATATATAAGCTTTAGGAGCTCGGGTAGCATAGTGCCTAAGGCACTTCACTGCTAACCAGAAGGCTGGCGGTTCAAACCCAACAGCCACTCCTCGGAAGGAAGGTTGGGCAGTCTATTTCCATAGGTATACTGCCTCAGAAACCCAAGGAGGGATCGCTATGAGTCAGGGCTGACTTGACAGCACATAACAACAACAACAACATAAGCTTTAGGAGCTCTGATAGTGTAGTGCCTAAGACACTTGACTGCTAACCAGAAGGCTGGCGGTTCAAACCCACCAGCCACTCCTCGGAAGGAAGACTGGGCAATCTACTTCTGATACCTCAGAAACCCAAGGAGGGGTCGCCATGAGTTGGATCCGACTCGACGGCAGTGAGGTTTGTTTTTTTTTTTTGGTATATATAAGCTTTAGAACAATGTGTGTAGGATGCTCCTTTTTGTGATTGTAAAAAGGAGACTATGCAGAAACACACAAATATGAATTCTTGTACACGCAGAGATTGTCTCTGGAGGCAGAAAAAAGAAACTGGTTGTAACAATTGCCTCTGGAGAAGGAAACTGGGGATCTGGAGTTCCAGGTGTTTTTTTTTTTTTTTTTTTTTAATTTTATTGTGTTTTTGGTGAAAATTTACGTAGATTTACTTTTTTAAAAAAATGCATTTTATTGAAATATAATTTATATACAGTGAAATACACAAAACTGAAGTGACATGGGTCAATGCATTTTTTTTTTTTTTTTTTTGGCAGTGTTCTCTCCCCTCCCCTTCCACCCCTGGTAACCAACAAAGAAAGCTTCCTTCCATATATAAACTTTTCCATGACCTTTTACAATAATGAACTAATACTATATTTGGCCTTCTACACAGATTTACTTTTTCCTGTATATACTTTTGTACTGTTTGAGGTGCTTTTATAATAACCATGAGCCTAATGTACTTTTATTAAAAATTAGACTAAGTGGGACAAAAATATCTCATAAACAACAGTACTGTTCACCCTTCTGACAAGTTGCAAACCTGTATTCTAATTCAAGTTACTGACTTTTTAGAAAGACTCAGCCACATTGAAAGGATTATTTGGAAAATTCTAGGGAATAAATTCAGCACAGCTCCACTTTGGAGATACCAGGCAACTTATTCCTGGTCTCTTTGGTGGTGAAGGACAGACTTGCTAGCTTCTTCTGTGTGTGAGAATTCATTAAGTCTCAGGATGTTATAGCTAGGAGGCTGTCGGTGGCTGTTTAGTTTGTTGTTGTTGTTATGTGCCATCGAGTTGGACATGACTCATAGTGACCCCTCCTTGGGTTTCTGAGGCAGTGGCTAAGGCACTTGACTGCTAACCAGAAGGCTGTGGTTCAA